AGATCATGCCGGTGTTTGTACAGCGCGAAATCCCACCTTGCCAATCACTTCAAAATGAGGTACTATGGTTGTCGGCTCAATGACAACCTCGACGGGACTTTTACCATTGTCCACCGACCTCCCAGTATCCCTCTCGACCAACTTCGCATCGAGTACCATAAAAATCCCCCGGCCGTGATATCGCGCCGACGAATGGATAGTGAACCATTAGCGGAACCCCAGATTTCCCAGAATTTTATCAACCGAAAGTTACGCGAGCATCGCAGAGGGAAAAGTTCGTCAGCGAGTAGCTCGTTTCCGGAAAGCATTGGCAAGGAAAGTAAAGCTGCCACATCCTCAACATCAACTGAAAATGGACCCGTCATCTCTTCCGACGCCGGGTTTGACAATGATGCCGATGGCCGGCCTTATACCCATTGGTTGAATCCGCAGAACAACCGGTTTCAAGTGACCCGAGGGCTGATACCTGAAGGATACGAGCTTGAACATCAAGCGTATCCCGATCGTCCTTGGATATGCCCCATCCGATCGTGCAGGTTCCTTAACAAAACGCAGACAGCTTACAGCAATCACTGGACCCTGCGTCATCCCAACGTTTGTGTTAACGACAACCAGGACGGAACCTTTAGCATCGTTGAGGGTTATAGTAAGAGCGGTCCTCGGGTTGTGTCTAGGCGCCTCATGGGATATGACGAATCACCCTTGGGAGAGGCGCAACTACCGGTCAAGGAACGAGAACAAGCGGAGGCAGTGGGGCCAAGTGCAAGTGTCTCGCCCGACAACGTTAGCCAACAACAAAAGAAGGCACCCCCACAACTAAAGCGATCTTTCAGCGAAACATTAGAAGCAGAAGAGCTGTTTGGAGACGGAGACCCCGATGGACTGCGCCGATATATCACCGCCCAGATCGGTGGTCAATTTCCCGAGGTTGACGAAACGGAACTGGAACTCCTTCTTTCTTTACCTCGTCGGCGAAATCTCAAATTGAAGCACCCTATTCCAGTAACGCATACCTTGACAGTCAAGCAACTCGCTGCAGTCGTTGCGCAACTCGTTGGGCGGGAAAGCCCCAACCCGTGTACTGCGTGTCGACGCCTCGCAGGGCCCTTTAACGGCTGCATTACTTTGCTACCCGAAGTCAGCCTCAAACTGAACAGACTGGTATCTTCCAGTTACCGGAACGCTTGCGCAAACTGCCTGTACGACCATACGTACAATGCGTGCAGTATCAAGAAGCCAAAACTCCAAGAGGGGCTTGCAGCGGGCACACCAACCGGGATTACCGGTGGTGTTGGTGGAGATGAAGCACGTGTAGAAGAAGCAGCAGACGAGGCAGGACATGATGTCGAAGATGAAGCTGAGGAGGAAGAGGAAGCTTATGAATATGACGAGCGACTTGGGGCCACGGTCATCAGGCGATCGCAGAGATTACCTAGTCTACCTGCCGCGGAAGAGAGCGTGGGCGAGATAGATGGAATAATTCCACCCCGGAAAGCCATCACCTTTGAGGATCCATCGCCGGACACCTTTTCGGGTAGACTGAATACCGCAGAGGACGGACAAGAACAAGAACAGGAAGAGTATCGTCGCGCTAGCAAACGTCTCAGGACGAGGGAGCAAAGCGCTCTATCGACCTCGATTCAGGCCACTGCCGCCGCCGCTCGGTCTCTTCTGGTATCCCAAGAGGACCTCGTAACTGAGACTTGGGAAAGAGGTTCAAGAGGGGTGTTGCCTAACCAGCGGCAGCCATCAGAGAGTGAGTTTTCGGTACCCTTCTCCCCTCAAACTTGAACTAGACACTGACAAACCTAGACCTCGTCTACGCCTCATCCTACCTCACAGCCAACCAAACCGTCCAAATCGGCCGCTCAACAACTTTCACATCCCTCACCATCCCCTCGGGCAACACCCACCAGCTCCCCACCGACCGGTCGCGGACCCAGTCATGCAGTCTTCTTAGCGGCAAGCTGAGGGTGACGCTGAACGACGGCGAAAACGAGTTTGTCGTTGGCCCGCGTGGTATGTTCACGGTCAGCCCTGGGACGACATGCGTGCTGGAGAATCGCAATTATATGGATGCGACGGTCCATGTTACTGCTGTGGCGGATCGGTAGACATCGGTCTCCGACCCTCCGACGCCAAGAATAAGAGACGAGAAGAAACGTGAGGATGCGCAATGTTGGCTGGCGATGATGCGATGCGATGCGATGCGACTGCGATGCGAATGCGCTGCTGTGAAAGAGATAGAAAAGCAGGCGAGACAAGTGTTGCGTTTCTGCGTTCTTCATTCTGCATTCTGCATTTGGGGCAGATATGGGGGGTTCACCCACGAATGCATGCATGCATGTTCTAATTGGGAGTTTTCTGGAAGGAAAGGAAAAACAGGCGAACGAAAAGTTATCGGGATCAGGGACTCAAAACAAGACTTGACCGAACCGTTTCATTCGCCGCAAACGGTTGTTCTTATCATTACAATGCGGGGCAATGGAAGTTGGAAGTGGAAGGTCTTGGGTTTTAAGGAGTAAGACTCCGGAATGTGGAAGGACGGGATTGGGTTTGCGCTCGGCAAATGCAGGCAAGACTGGAATGGGCGAAGGTTTGTTTACATGAGACAGTCCAATCCAAAGGGGGAGAGTCTCAAAGTCTCAGCATCATAACAATGGAATGCACGATTTTGCCGGCCATTCAGGAACCAGGAACGGATTCAACGGGGCTTGCGATTGGCGAACCCAACCTCTCGGTTCTGTTTCGTTGGATCTTTTTTTTTTTTAAACATGCCTAACATGTCTCGCGTACTTATCGCACGCATGTACATTACATATCATGGTATGTACATCATTGACATGCATACATACATACATATCACTTACATAAACGTCAACGACTCACTCAACTGGAACCGTAGCCGTCAGGCCTCAACGCAGTACAGTGCAGTGCAATGCAGTTGCTTCCACGAGCCAGAGCCATATATGCATTCCAGTCCAGTCCGACCGACCGGTAACCGAACGCAACCCGTCCGGATCCGCACCCCGCCCTGTCCTCTCTCTCTCTTCACTCAATCTGTTGGCCGCATGTGTTATCGATTCGACGGCCGATGTTCCGTACGGGTCCGGATGCAGCTCTTCTCGCATCGCACAACACCACCGATTCGGACGCTGTTATCATGTCATATCAGACGGATGCACTCGGCTTTGCATGGCTGCCGTGGCGGGGCTTGCAGCAACGGATGAGGGGAAAGTCAAGAGGCGAGAAGGAGATAAAGGACTGCAGAATATCATAAAAGGATGGTTCGATGCCTCTTAATTTTCGTGTGACCAGTTTTTCTTCTCTCATCCTTCAGCCAGCCGTCTTGTCGTGATCAATTTTTTCCATCAAAGTTCGTTGTTGTTGTTGCCTTGGAAAAGTTTTGATATTCAGCGATTCTTATTCATTATCCGACCTACGGCAGCACTGAGAGAGGAGATTCGCCGCCCTCGACCACTTAATATCCAGTGTTACGAGCTACGACATACAGCTACAGCTTCTTCTTATCTACCCCTCACTGTCATACCTCTCGGCAGCTTGACTTCATTTCGACCTCCGCAGACCGGTCCAGAGTTATCAACTTACTTCTACATACACGTCCTTCGATTCATACCACTTGGCTTGGCTCTCTCGATTCAAATTCGACATATCCATCCCATCTTCGACCAAATCAACCACCGACCAGTTACCCACGTACTCCAAAGACAACACCAAGCATCAACAAACATCTATATCCAAACCCACCAACTCCTAACCCAGGACTACCTTCCAATCCTCACTACAGCAAAAACAACAGCAAAAATGCAACCATTCCTCTCCGGCGAAGCCACCCTCGCCTGGCTCCTCATCACCCTCACCCTCCTCCTGTTCGCCGCAGCAGGGGATGAACACCCCTACGAACCTTCCTATCGCAAATATCCTGCCGAAGCAGGGCGGTCCAGCGTAGAGATTGGGGACGAGCAGCAGCAGCCGGCTGTGAAAGCGGAGGAGTTGACGGTTAGGTTGGAGGATTTACAGCAGCAGAGCGGAAAGGAGCAAAGTGTTGTTAGGAGGAACCAGAAGAGGACACAGGTGGTAAGAAGGGGTGGTTATAAAGGTATGCTTCCCCTTTATTTTCCTACACATTCCATGGAGTGATTGAAGAGAAGAAGACACCAAGCTAACTTCACATCAAACAGTACCGCTACGCTATGCTTCGAAACCTTCGCCGTCGTCGTCGTATTTCCCGTCGGGCTTCAAACCGAGAAGTCTGCAAGTATTGGCTGTGTTGCTGAGTCATCAGAGCTTACATACTATTAATATTCCGGTTCTTGGAAAGTCAGTAGGGCCATGGAAGGCAGAAGTCAGTTGGTCACTTGGTGGGTTGGGGCTGGCAGGAGGGCTGCCTTTGATGAAGACTGTGAGGGGAGGGAAGACGATGAGGTCTTTGAAGGGATGTCGGGGATCTAAGAGCTTGAAGTATGTGGGGGTTAGTCACGAAGATGTTAAGAAGAGACGACCTGAGAGTGGTAATGATGAGAGTGTCCACGGACAGCTTGAGGCTATGAGGAGTATCGGGAGGGCGGGAGAAGTTGGTGATTAAAAGGTTGAGGTTTTGGGTATGGGAGTTCAAAAGGAAGGGAAAACCTAAGAATAGAATAGCGTGTCGTTACCATCTTTTCATTCGATTCTTGACCATCATTGAGTTGTTGAAGTCAGGCTTCAATACCTACTTTTTCTAGTTCTCTCCTGTTCCAGATCAATAACAATCAATGCACCTTCCCATATTCATCCAGCTTCCCCGCCTGGTGGAAGCTTCCTTCCTTCCCTCTCCCTTTCCTTCCTTCCCACCTTCCCACCAACCTTCATCCCAGGTCCTTCCTTCCCACCCACGGGCTCCTGCAGCAGCAACCACCAACAAGCCTGGATCCACCCGACCGATACTCTTTCCCCTTTATAATCAAAAGGTCCAACACCTACCTACAACAACAATCAATGGGCGTATAGATCAGTGGTTAGATCGCCTGTTTTGCAATACCTGGCTTGCCATGGTACCGCTAATACAGGAGGTCCCGCGTTCAAACCGCGGTTCGTCCACCATTTCTTTTTTCTCTTTTTGTTTTTGCTTCCTTAATGGTCTCATTTGCTCTTAATGTTCTGGTTCAGTTGTGAATACCTCTAACATTGAGGAGTGTCTGCTGTTCATTCAGATGCGTTACATCTACCACTTTATATACGCTTTTTCCAAATATGTCAAGAATGCCCCGTTAGATTTCATGTCCCTCTCTAATCGTACACTTAACTGACATACACGAGTATTCAGACTAAAAGCGAAACCCAAAAGACCCCATTCCATAACTCCCAATCGCTTATATCCAAACAGAAAAGCAATCCCATTAGGTATACCGACAGAAATAAAGTATATGCTGTAAGCGGTGCCAAAAAAGAAAAAAAAAAAAAACCAGCCAAACCTCATGAGCAAGCCTACAACGACACAGACATACATAAACTCTTCCAAAAAGCAGCATTAATATCATCCGGCCTAATCCCCGGCGTCCTTCCTAAACAGATGGCTCGTTCCGTAAGTTCAATCACCAGCTGGTTAACGTCTATCGTAACAAGCATGCGTTGATTCCACACTTGCTGTGGCTGTGGCTGTGGTTGATCGAAAGATGTCGCTGCAGTGCTACCAGTTCCGGTGGTTGCGGATTGAGAGGAGTGCGAACTCTTGGGGGACATGTACATGTTATTGTTATTTTCTGGAGCTGGAGACGGGTGGGAGGGGAAGTCGAAGGTATCGTTATGTGCTGGTGTGCCGAGGAAGCGAGCGGCCCAGTCATCGACAGCGGTTGTTGAGGGTGGTGAGAGGGAGCTTGAACCGCTGGGTGTGAGTGGCTTGGTGGTTTGCTGCTGCTGGTAAGAAGGGTGTTCGTCGCTAACAATTGAGTTCGAACTGTAATCCATTGAAGAAGGCGGAGATCCGACGTTTCCTCCCCCAGCGGTAAAGTTTTGTTGATAAACAACCGAGTCAAGACAAGCCAAGTCCATTTCCTCCAACGACCCCGATCCCGGTCCTCCTACCCCTCCAGCACCACCGGTTGCCATACCGAACTGCGCCGGATAAATCTCCACCGTATACTCATCCGCTCCCGGAGGTATTATTACCCCTCTCTGATGGAAGTAAAACTCCACCTCATCACAATCATAATACTCCCCCTGAAACCCGGGTAAACACATCTTCATGTCCCTATCCAACCAGTTATCCCTCGCATTGTTGACAGCGGGTGGGAAAGGGCCCATGCTAAACCCCGCTGTTAACTCAGCATGTGGTTTCAGCACGTCGGCGGTGCCTTGGTTCCCGACTTGTGGTTGTTTGCTGGCATTGGTAAAGTTCAAGTGCATTCTCATGCCTGCTTCCAGTGTCAAAGTACTGTTTAGCGGTCCTCCAGGGGCAAGATTGTGGGTTCCGGCTCCGCCGAGGTGGTAGAACGGGTATTGCCAGTTGAAGAGGCTTTCGTTTTTGCTGCGGGCGATGGCTTTGAGGGTGCGTTGGAAGATCATGTCGGGGGATTCGAAGAGGAGACAGAAGCCGAAGGCTTTGCTTAGCTTGTCGATGGGCGGGTTGGGCATGGTGACGAGCATGTGAGCGCGCTCGATGGCGAAGCGTTGGTAGCGACGGCCGAAGGTGATTTCGTGTGAGGCGTAGGAAGACGGGGCGGGGAGAGCGGAATAAGGTGACGGAACTTGAGGCTGGGGTTGGTGTTGTGGGGGAGGCAAGAAGTCAAAGTTGAAGTCTACAGTGGGAAGGTCGAAGGTCTTTGGAAAGGATGGAGCCGTAGTGGTTGGATGAAATTCGGTTGTCTGACTGGTGGTCGGTATAGAGAGACTCAAATCTGTGTCTGGAGCAGTCGTCAGGTAGCTTTGCGAGATTGGTTCGTGAGTGACTGTGAGACCTGGAAAAAGCTGTCGGCTTGACTCGGCGGCGATTGGCCCTATCATATACTCCGGGCTGTTTCCTTGGTTTTCCAGTTGATTCACACCCTTTCGCCTGCGATCACTCCCAATGGACTCGGCTGTACTCGTGCTTCCACGTCGCCGTATTTCATGATCGTCATTTCCGTCAGTGTCGTCGCCACCGGCTTGTGAGATATTGATGAACCTTTCCTTGGTAGCGAGGAGTCGTCTACCCAACTCGGAAGAACTGTCTAGTAAGCCACTGGCCACGGCAAAGTCATGGAATTTCATAAATGCATTGCTCATTTCCCGGTTGACTTTCTGTAGATTCTTGACTTGTTTTTCCAGTGTTTGTATTGCCGTCTCCTTCCGGTTCCGATATGCTCGTTGCGCTAGACGGATCTGTGTTCGCCGGCGCTAGAAGTCTATTAGTATCACCACTTCAATACTCTGGTGATCTCGACTCACGTCAGCAGCAGTCTCATCACTGACGTCCAGCCTTGGACGTCCACGGGCCCGTTTGATTTCATCCTTTTCAGTTCCCCCATCGTTCCCTTGTACTCTTGGGCGTTTCCGTGGTCCACCCTCTTGAGGTCGTTGACTGGCAGCAGTCGACTTTGGTTGACAAGCTGGTCGAGATCGAGCTGGTGTGTGGGCAAGGGGGTCGGGATAGGTCTCGACGCCGAGAATCGCTAGGTCGCCTCCAGGATAACGCATCATGAAAGTCACAGTTGGTGGTTGTTGGGTTCAAAAAGGGAGTGAAGAGGAGAAAAGCGGGAGACTGGGGTTAGATATTGGATGAACGGTGAAAGCTGACAAAGATGCTTTCAAGTCTGACGGGCGAGCTGAAGGGGAAAGGAACGCCAAGACCTGGGGTTATGTTGGAGCTGATGTTTGCTGGAGCGGCTGTCGCAGGTTGAGAACAAGGAGTCCGGCTTGGGGACAAACATGCAAAACGTGTACGTAATCAGACAAATGGAATCGAGTGTCCAAAGTAGTTTGTGTATAGACAAATGGAGTATGGTTTGTAGAACATGAGAAGTTGTCAAGTTGAAGATTGATGGTGCATGTGAAAGCCGTTGAGAATGGAATCTGATAAGATGCAGGGTCGCTTGAGGAGGACGATGGGGTTAACGGTGTTAAAGATTGGCTGTTTTCCGATTACTGATCATAATCCTGGACCGAGGGAAGTACTGGGTACATATGATCAGCGGCCTCAAAAGCCTGCGAGTCGCGTACAAGGTACCTTGCTAAAAATTAACCTCAAACTGACCGCTGGAAGACAACCATCCTGGGCAAGCTGGGGTGAAAAAAAGCATCATGATGGACTTCAAACTCCCATCGCGTACCTGGCTTTTCGGCTTCACTTGATGTAAAGACCATAGTGTTCGTAGGATCGACGCCCTCGGAATCATCATGCTGCGGTTAAGAGGGACAGGACGTGGATTTGTCAGGTCGTCAGCAAGGATGCTGACCAAAAAAATGCCAATAAATTCGGGACGAGTGCGGCGCGGACTTAACACCAAGACTCCTTGATGGCATCGCGGATTGATTTAAGCTTCCGGTTGTTGTCGGATTAAAAAGACAAGAGACGGATCCGTGCCCACGGCGGAGTTTTAAAGTTCGTCCCGTCCCCGACCCCGCTCCGGGCCGATTCCACTCTGGAGGGGATTCGTCACTCAGTGGAGTTCGGGAGTGACCGCAGTTCCCCAGCTCAGCCCTGTTGGGCCCCATCCCAACCCCAACTGGAGTCGAATCTCGATCAAAGAATTTCGGACGGAGACCACTCGGTTCATTCCTTTTCTTTCCTCTTTACAATCAAAAAGCCAATTGCCTTTCCAAAGTCCTTTCCAACAACACTCTTGTATAATCAGCCAGTCCGTACACCCATCATCCTCAGTAGTCAACGACAGCATGATATCGAACATCAACAGTCTCAAATTGCGAATGCCTTCATTTTTCAAGACAGCATGGGTTGTTCCGCTTCTCAAGATCCAATTACATAAGAGCCAGTCCTTTTTAACAGCGATTGTTCAACAGCGCCACGCTCACCACTGCAGAGTGCTAGCTCAGCCGCTCTGAGGTCGGACTTGAAGTTCCAATTGCTAGCCAATGGCACTTGCTGATTCCAATGGGAGGGCGCCCTGTTAGACCCCAAGTATCCTCAAGCTGACATTGAGCAGTCAAGAAACATCAGCACTAACTGATACTGCCGATTTGGCGGGTGCCTGCAGTGGATGCTTTCCTGCAAAATGCCCGGCAAGTTGCCAGCAAGTTGCAATGCAATGCCCAACTGGGGGAAGTTGCAGTTCGCGCTGTCCTGCATCCACTTGCGCTCTGCATTTTGCATGTTCATCGAGTCCCATGCCATCTTCCAACTCAACGGAATCTTTCCATCAATTTGAAGTCTTTCGTTTTGAGCCGTGGTTGGGATAACGTGCGGTCACTTTCTCTTCTTATTTTCTTGTCTGTTAGCATTATACCCTTTGGATCTCTTTTTTCTTCATACCCTCCCCAGTCCTCCTCCCAGGACCCCGGCGTCGTGACTCTTGACCCAGCCAAACAAACTGCTGACGCTCCGCCTTCGATATTCTCCGTTCGAGTGCCGTCTTCGTTTGCGATCCCCGGTCGCCCTCCAGTCGCCGCCATGTCGCGGTCTGAGTCACAAAACGGCTGGAGCAAAGTCCTGCCCACCACCCATACAGGCCGAGTCGAACGATTGTCACACCAAGAGCTTGAGGCTCACGAGAGGGAGATCATCAAAGAGTGGGAGTCATCACCAGGTCATTGGTCTGGAATGTGCGTTACAGTCCTCCCGTTTCCCTCAAGACTTTCTAGTCTTTCCTTATCCAAGAGACTTGGCTAACTCGTTGGTTTGCTTTTAGCGGAAAACACACAGATACGACACCCGAGCAACTCGACAAGGCGAGACGGATACACGAACAATTCAAGAATAATCCCAACAACCAATTGGGCCGCGGAAGCTATGGCGTCGTCGACAAGGTATTCGTCACCTACAAGAACCGATCAATACGCTTGGCGCGCAAGCATATTCCCCAGCGACGCTATACCCGACTCGAGATTCTACGCGAGGAAGCCAAGGTGATGGAAAAGCTTGAGCACGAACACATCATCAAACTCATTGGTACCTACTGCTGGCGCAAGGTGCCTGAGCTGTACCTCTTGCTCTGGCCTGTTGCCGTGTGCAACCTGGACGACTTGTTTAACGACCTGCATCTGCTCCAAACCGACCAAGGCGATCGCGATGAGATTCTGTCCCGCCTGGCCAGGCTAGATCTGACCGAACTGGACGCTTTCGACCACGCCTACTCCCCTGGAATGAATGTCGTCCCGTCGTACGCAAATGGCTGCTTGTTTGGGTACATGCGCCAGATGATGGGCTGCCTCACCCGCGCCCTGGCCTACCTACACAAGTCCAACGTGCGCCATCTGGACCTCAAGCCCGGCAATATCCTTCTAAGCCCTGGAAAGGTCTACCTCGCGGATTTCGGTCTTGCAAGAGATGTCCACGACCGGGATAATACACTTACCCTAGGGCAACAAGGAACCCCAAGGTGGAGAGCCCCTGAAGTCGGCCGCGTTAGTGATGAGTGGTCAATGCGGGCTGCCGATGTTTACTCTCTCGGGTTGGTGATGCTCAACATTTCAACGGTTGTATACGGGGCCCAGATCGACGAGTTCGACCATGTTGTCAGCAGGCTACCAGAACAAGGTAGAAATGCACTACTCGAGCAGTTTCTGGCCGACTTGGAAAAGTACGCGCTAGCAACCCAGGAATACAAAGACCACGGGGCGCCCACAGTCGGACCGAGACACACCGTTGACTTGATCAGACGAATGTCGTCTACCACGCCATCAGAACGACCTGCGGCGGACGTAGCCGACCTTGAGCTGGTTGAGCTTGGTGGCATCGAGCAGGTCTACCATGCCTCCTGCTGCAAGAAAAGCAGCCGATTCTTGACTGAAAAGCTTGATTCGCGCCTCCGACAAGCTGCCGAGGACCGCAAGCGACTACAGGCCGAGCACGACAAGATCATCAAGAGGATAGCCGAGCTCGAAGCTAAGGATGCTACGTACGAGTCACGAATTAGAAACGAGACAGCCCACGTCGCAGAGAGGTTCAAACAGATTTGTGAACAGCTGGAAAAGAAGTTGGAATCTGAGTCTGAGGAGAGGAAGAGGCTTGAAGCTCGGTTGGCGGAACTCCAAACTGGTAAAAGGCACGGAGTTCCAATCGTCGCGCGCCGGACCACTACTCCCGCGATGGCAGCTACCAAGGCGATTCCTTCACCAAGCGGCATGAAAATGCCATCACGACCACCAACGCACCCTCTGCCTGTAACTTCGTCTTCAGCGCCAGCCGTACAAACTCTCATCAAGATGCCGACCCCGATCGCCGATTTCACTGCTCGTCCCAGCTACTCCCAAGCCGTCTCAGCCGGTACTAGCAGTATTCCGGTACCGCAGGCTGCTGCTCGTCGAGATTCAATACGCAGAGATTCCGTCATTCGTCCACCATCTACCCTGCTAAACTCGCCAATTCCAGCCGTTGGTCCCAAGAGAAGTCCGACGCTTGAAGTTACTCCTGCCAACTATCCCTTGCGCCAGAGTACTTCAGCTTCCCGCTTACCTCGACTTGTCAATCCTTCCACGCCTATCAGGTCCAGCACTCCTAGCACGCCACGGTATAATCGCAACACCTCTTCAGCCGATAGCACTCAGAATAGCATGAGCAGTTCTACCCTTAGCCTGGGCAGATCGCTCTATTCCGATATCAGCATGCCAACGACTGTCGAAAACACCCCCAACGTTAACAGTCCGTCTCCCGATCGTACCACCAAGCAACCGTTCGAGATAACCGAACCTCGCAATATCGACAATGATGCCACAGCCATTAAGATTGAGAGTGTCGGTCTCGGACTTGGCTACGAAGAGGATATCAAACGAGCAGAAAGCGTTGCGAGTCGGGAAGACTACCAAAATCACGACGAACCCGGTGACATACGAGACGATTCTAGTGTTGTTAGTTTTGCGCCTTCGACAACCACTGCCCCTTCCGTCGGGAGTGGTTACAGTCGTACAGCCACTGGGAGAAAGATTCCTGCTTTGCCTACTGCGCCCAGCTGGGCTGATGTGGCGAGGACCATTCCTCCGTTGAGAAAATAGCCGGGGATGGAACAAAAGTAAAGGTGTTGGATAGGTTATGGATTTTGGATATCATTGATATGGAATATGGTTAGAGATTTGAAGGAGTAAGGGAGTCTGAAAGGGTGGGACGCTGGTCTGGTGTTCCGCCCTAAGATTTCCCGGTAGCAAGCGAAGATATTACCTTTGCTTGATTGTATGGGTATGTGAGATGATGAGAAAGAGGAGGCAGATGGAAGTGCCTCAGGGAGGGAAAAAAGCGAAGAGATGCTTTGTTTTGGATAATCGAAGACATGATCATGACTGCGAATGATCACGGATGACTAGTAATAGTCAACACTAGGTAGCTAGCGAATCAAATATTTGCCTACGCCCTATGAACATGCTATTGTCGTGACCTTGAACAAGTAAATAAAATCTGAGTGACCACCGGTACCACGCAAAATATCCCCCTAGTGTAGAGGGCGAGTGTATCTTTAATTAGCACTTACGAAGCTTTCCTCTCTTGAGCCAAAAGCCACGAGCCACCACACCTTCCTCCCATTTCATTCAACCCGTCTGAGAGCCAAAATGATTGAAGCAAAATGTAGAAAAAAGGCCAAAAAAAGGGAAAAAAAGAAGCTGGACGAACCGCGGTTTGAACGCGGGACCTCCTGTATTAGCGTTACCCGTTGTAGGGAAATGCGAAACAGGCGATCTACCACTGATCTATACGCCCATTGGATTTTGTTGAAAGTACGTGTTGGACCTTTTGCTTATGAAGGGGAAGGGGAAGGGGAAGGGGATGGAAGGGGGTCGGCTGGGTTGGCTGCGCGGTGGTTTGCGTTTGTGTTTGTGTTTGTGAGGTGGGTAGCCGGATGGAAGGAGGGAGACGGAGGGGAGGCAAGAGGGGGTTGAGGGTGGAACTGGTTAGGGCGGGTATGTATGGGATTTGTACAAGAAGAGAAAAGGATGGGATTGTTGTTGCGTTCGGTCTTCTCGTTGCAGGTGATACTAGTTAGTAGGTGATAGATAGATGTGGAAGAAATTATCGATCTTGGTTAAAGGCTTGGAAGCCTCAAGTCCTCCGAGAAGGTGGAAGGTGATAAAAGATGTTTTAAATCCATCTATCTGGTACACCTATATGTGCTCATGTAGCCCTTGGTTCATTTAAAAACACCCTCTCCATCGCCCTCATCGTCGAATTTTCCGTTTCTGCCACCAGAGACAAAGACTCATTGAATAATGATTCGCTTATCCTTTTCTGCTTGCGCGAGATGGTCGTCAAGTATTCTCTTAGCCGACCTGGAGGACTCCGCTGGAAGCCACCTCTTCTTCGTTGCATCCGACTGAACCTTCCACATTTCATAGTCCTTCTTCTTAGCTTCCTCTAGTGGCATCACCTCCCCACCCCAAACCACCCAGTCCAACTCCGCCTTGTCATCCGTATCTGTCTCTGTTTCTGCATCTTCTGACTCTTCTGACTGTGGTTCTGTCTCTGTCTCCGTCTCTGCCGGCGTAGCACTACTGCTACTTCCAAACAGCAAGCTCTTTACCCTATCGGGTATCTCAACAAGCGAGCTCAACCTATCCGATCCATCATCCCCAAGCTGCTCCGTGAAAATCTCGTACTTGAAGGCCGAGCACCGCACCAGCTCGTCCAGCACGGCCAGCGCCAGACCCTTGGCAACTATCTCCCGCGACTCCGGCGTTGGATCGGGCCACCACCATGTGGACGACCGGTCGCTGGTGATGTTCAATTCGTCTTGCACATCTCCCCTCATCACCCACTCCTGAACAGCCTTTGCCCACAAGTCCATGGAATATTGCACGCGGCGCTTGTTGCGGGCAGCTCTGAGTTCATCGGTGCCCCAGTGGTAACCTCCAAAATCTATTTGTCCGATATACACGCCGTCTTTTTCGCTCGCGGCAGCCTTGTTTTTGAACACCTCACCGTTCCACAAGACGTTCGCTTTGCCCAGGTTGAGGCCCAACACCTTAGCGGCCGAGGCGGTGGTCTTGTTGGCGAGTGGTGAGGGAAGCTTGACGATACGGTTGCTGAAGTCGGTGGTTAGGGCGTCGACCGCAAGCGGGTGGAGAGGGGCATCGCGGATGCGGGGCCAGCTCTCAAACCATCTTGGGCCGCCGTAGTATCTGTAGAGCTCGCAGAGGAGCAGGGATTGGATGCGGGCCTTGGCGAGAAGGGTGGCGGCGGCGGGCGGTGAGATCTTGGGCCTTCCGATCGTGGTGGTGATGAGCGGCTTCGAGCTACCGGCAGTTGACAGCGTTTCCGTTTGTGCCTCCTTCAACCCTCTGAACCTGCCTATCATTTCCTGATTTTTCTTCTCGCGTTTCTTTCTATTCCTCCATATGCGTGCCCACTTGGCAAATAACTCCTCTCTTTCCTTCACCAGGTCTTCCCTGTTCCGCTCCAACTCCTCCCGGTGCTGATTCCGTCCAGTTGGGTGTAGGGCTGTTGGCGGGAAAGCGTCGCGCGAAACGCCTCCGCCTCCGTGGTGTGAGGCGTCGGTAATTTTGTGCGAGCTTCCGGTTGAAGCAATGTTGTCTTGCTCCTCCGGAGCAGCAGCGGCGGCCACCTTCCGAGGCCTACCGCGCTTCTTCGGAGTCTCTTCCTCGGCAGGAGTAGCCACCTTCCGTGGCCTACCTCGTTTCTTGGGCGCTGGGGTTTCTGGCTCGGGAGAGAATTGTGTCGCGGGAGTTTCGGAATCCACCTTCTTTGGTCTTCCTCTTCTTTTGGGCACAGGGGTAGCTGACGTTGGCACTTCTGGGCTTGATCCCGGTTCCTTCGCCGATTCTGCAGGTCTTTCTGTAGACTCGGTATCCTTTACTTCCAATACAGGTTTCGAGGCGTTGGTCTTCTTGACTTGGCGGGTCGCTTTAAGTGCCTGTGAGCCCCTTAGACGTCCCTCCTCGGTCGCCTCGACCTTTCCTGGTTGCTGTTCAATGGTAGCGGTTGTAACAGCAGCTGTCTCTTGAAACCTGGCCTCTTCCGGTTGTCGTGCTTCCTCCTCTATCCGGAGCGTTTCCCTCTCAGCCTTTTCCTTCTTTTTCCTCTCCTGAGTCTTGAGCCTCCACTGCCGCATTATCCTGCTCATCCTTGCTTTCTTCCTCTCCTCCTTCGCGACCCTCCTCCTCTCCCTCTTCCTCTGAATCTTCTCTCTCCTCTTCCTGCTCTTCTTCTCTTTCTCAGCCAGTGCTCTCTCCTCTAGCACCAACTTCCACAACGCTCTGCCCCTGGCAACCATCTCTTGCATCGTCAGCTTTTGCTTACGCTCGATGTCCGCCATAGCCAGCTTGATGGCGTGCGCATATGACCCGCCGTCCGTCCGCGACCGCCTGGCCGACTGCTTGTTCTGCGTCCATTTCTGCCGGCCCGCCCCGTCTTCGGTATAATATCGTGGGTCGTCCCACGGTTGCGGCTCGCCCCGTAACATGTCTTCCACCAAGTCATCCCAGGCATCCTCCTGCTCCGCGTCGGGCATATCCTCGCTGACGAGCTCCTGGTACTTGTCGGCCCATCGCTGGCGTCGCTGGAATTTTTGGCTGAGCACTCGACCGAGGTATTCGGACTGCGGCTTGCGCAGGCGCAGGAAAGCGTGGCCGCCGAGTTCGTCGAGGGTAGGTACCTTACGCACGCCGCCGGAGAGCTTCTCCAGCGGCAGCGGACGCACGGTCGGGACAAAGGTCGGCGGGCCGCTGCCACTCGGGTTCGGGATCTTGGTCAGCAGAGGGACGTTGTCCGGGTTTGGCCCCCATCTTTTCTTGAGCTTCTCTTCCTCTTGGCGCTTCTTTTCGCGTATGGCGAGGACGCGTTCGTTGTTCTCGCGCAGAAATTGGAGAACGTCGGCGTGGGCCGGGGAGGACTCGTCGCGCGCTTGTGTCAGCAGCTCGAGGAAGCGGTAGCCTTTGTTGAGGGCGGAATTGACCAGGCGCAAGCTGATCTCGGAGCTGTTGCGGCGGAAGCCATTGCGAATGAGGGCGCGAATGGGGTTTTGCTTCTCGTCTAGAGCTGTAGCGACATCATGGGGGAGAGGGACACGGTAGCCCGCGCGCAAAAGAGCTCTGAAGAGAGCTTTGCCTGTTTTGTTGAAGAGCTTCCGTTAGGACTGTCTGAAAAAGAACAGTGCTAGAAACAGAAGTGCTTACATGCGAAGCGATGCCGCGAATCGCAGCCGGGCTTAATGAAAGCAGGCATTCATCTGTTGAGCCGCGGGGTTCATGACCCGTTCGAAAGTTGTAGAGTCGAAGTTTTGTTTTCCGGACCAAAAATGGATTTCGGGAAAGATACACAGAGTGGAGACCTCGGATCAGTGACATAATTTATCTGATCTTTAGCAACAGACGCGCGCTGTCACGTGTGCCCACTTATACTCTTCAGCGACATGCTAAGGCTCGACTAGTCATGATATTACCTCTAGATTTGTGAAGTTTCTTGTTTATGTAAGTTCTGGTGTCTTCCTTGAACTACAGTGGTCCCATATTTCTAGGGTCATAGGGAGTTTCGTATATAGATAGACATGGTAAATCTGCCAGTATCTCTTTGTGTCTCTTGGCTATCTGATCCAGTGTCATTGTATATACGCAAAGTCGCCAGAGTTGAGGGAAACATTGCTGTCTTATCAAATCATTCACGTTATTGCCGAAACGGCCACCTCTGTACCATAGTAAAGCGTCATAACCTTGGTTTGCATACGAACTGTCCAATGCTTCCCTAGCTCCCATAATGAAACCCCAAACACCAGAACATGATATGAACATCCGCCAGAATGTGTGTAAAAAGACTGTTGCTTCTATCGATATAGTCCGTGAACGATACCGGTAGTTGTTTACTTGTACATGGGGTACTTGGAGCCCTCGGGAGGCTGGGGAAGCTTCTTGTGCTCTTCCATGTACCTACAATGCCGAATTGTTAGCGCCTTCCTGATGTCCTTATTTCAAATGTAGCTTTGTTTCCGGGCCCGACATACTTTCTGATGGCAATGAGGGCAGCCTCAAGGCTCAAAGGGTCCTCTTTGGGGCGGGGGTTTCTCGAAAGCTCGGCGGAAATGCGAGTCCAGTCGCGGAGGATGCCGACGTAGTTGGGGTCGACGCGGCCGTCAGTTTGGCTAACACCGGGAAGGTTGATCTGGCTGACGAAGTGGATGACGGGAGGCTCCTTGGGATAGTTGGGGCCGCACTCCATCTTGAGTTCGTAGATGCGGTTCTCGTGGTTACCCTATGTAGACCTGGGTTAGTCGGGCGCCGGCTATGAAGATGACGGCGATGACGGCGAGAATAATCGTACGTGAGGAGGACCCCAGATGGTACCGGTCCAGTGGGTCATGAGGATATCCTCGGGGTCTTCGAGGCCGTAGGAGCAGGCACCTATATCGGATGAAGAAGACCGTCAGTACATCATCGAAGTCGAACATCCGTAGCGCATCGCAATAAAGGCAACAACATATGGAAACGCACCTGCGCCCATTCCCTTCTCGCCCTTCTCGAGCTCGGCGAGGAGCTTAAAGTTGCGGGGCACCTGAGCAACCGCCATTGTGTCTTGATGCGTCTGTCTGGCGATGGGTGGTTTGGCAAAGAGGCAGAAGGGAGAAATAAAATGGAACTGGATTTGGAGACAATCACAACCACAAAGACGGGAACACTGGACTGCCTGGCAGATCTGTTTGCGCAACCGATGAAAGTGGAAGACAGAAGCAGAGTGATGCAAGGCGCGCACCGGAA